TATAGAGGACTTTGCATTGTTTTCGGTACCAAACTGTGGAAATTATTATTAATAATTTATTATTAATGAGATGTCTGTTAACAGCAAATTATTATTACACTTAACAGTTGTTTTGTAAAATATTTGAAGTGTATTTATGAATAAAATTGCAGTTATTGTACTGGAATAGCACTATTCCACAACAAATCACTCAAACTTATAATAAGCACCAAAATAATCCAGATTCAAGAATTTTATTACAAATTTATTAAACGTTAATTTTAAAATATCTACAAATATCTCATATTTTGATTATTTTAATTTAATTTATAATTTCATATAATTTTTATAAAGGTTTTAATTGTGAATACAGTATACTGTATAGTATTCTGCATTTAACAACAGATCTATACGGAGAGTGACATTCACTAGCATTTTAGTGCATTTTACACAACATTTCATTTTAGTGCAAATGCACTAAAATCTTATCGTTGAATAAATATTACAATAATTAGTTTCAATGTTAGGGAAATTATTTTCAATCAATTTGGGCTTATAAAATTGATGCATAATATAAATAAAAGTTTAGAGTTATGCAACCAATAGTTGTTGAGTATTTATATATTAAAAACACATTAAAAACATCTGTGAGTTCAAATAATAATTGAGGGAACAGTAGTACAGAATACAGTACTATATTGTATGTTATTCTGTATTCATTTGCATTAATCGGTAGATACTTTGTCATTTAAATATTTAGTATTAAATTCAATATAAAACATTTTCAGACATCTCTTAACACACAATTGAAAGTAAGTTTTGCGTTAATTCAATAATTACTTTTGCATATAAATTAATACATTTTAAAACAATTTATAGTAACGGTAAATATACAGTAATTAAATAATTTGTATTAAAATCTCGAATATCCCTTGTTTTTAACTTTTAGTTTATTTTTAAAACACATAATAAAATTTAATGATAGCCAACGAGAATGTGTAACAAAATTTATTACACGAATATTACAATAATTATTAAATTTATGTAAAATTACAATATTTTAATAAAAAATAATTTACAACATTTTTGAGGTACAGGTATGTGTAAACATCGTATTTAAGGCCACGACTTTGGTTTAATTTTCAATAATTTGTATCTCAAGCACATTATACTTTCAATAGAAAATATTATCCCCTAAAATTGAAACATAAATAAAAAAATACAAAAATAGTTGTCTCTGTATTTGAACTTTAAATTTCGCTTTAAATACATTTGATGTGAAAAAGAGCTGCAAATGAATTGCAAACAAAACATAAACAATAACTCAATTAAGCCTTAAATGCAACAAAAATAAACACAATTAGAAAATGCATTTAAAAATATAAAATCAATTATCAATTAAACTAATCACTCATTCAGTGGTCTGTTCTCTCCTTAACTTATATTGCGGTGCATTAACTGCCGGTATATACCGGCGCCGGAACTCAGGTTTGGTCACCAGCCATACGACCAGTACTGTGAACACCACTATCGACAGGCCGAACATGTTTATGATGACAGCCGGCGCCGGCAGGTCTCGATATTCAGCGCCTTTTGATTTCCTAAACATAAATAAACAACACTTTAAATACATTTCAAACAAAATTCCTCATAAAATAAAACACAAGACTTGCCACACATTGCCACACATTCACTAGAGCACCGGGAGGGCACACATGTATCAAAATAGATATCACAGTACAAAACACTTACAGACTAAACAAGGCTTTCTCCGTGAGGCCAGTGATAGCTACCGCCCCCGTCAGCACAATATTAGCGGTTCCGCCAAATATATGAAAAGGTAGTATAAGGCGCCGGTAGACGGGATCGATGCCCGGGTAGAGAAACGAGAAAAAGGCGG